ATAATCCTTATATATTGTTATATATTATTATATTATGCTAATTATAATAATTTCTTCAGCTTTATACATTTATTATATTAAAAAAATGAATAAAATGATCTTTCAAACGAATAGATGAAGAATAATTGTGAAAGGATAATTTTTATTAACTTTTAGAAAAACATATATATATATATATATATAGATAAAATATATATTTCCTGTCAATGTTCAATATATTTTTAATTAAACAAAATTATTGTAATCACATGCACCTCAAAAAATTCGATCGAATGTTATCGTGGAAGATAGTTCTCGTTTCCTGTTATAAATCACGAATAGCAACAAAGAATTTTATCCCCTTCCGTTTTATTGCACTTGTTCCTCCGGCTGTTATTCATCCGTACGCATTATTTTCTTGTGTGCAAGACTTCGTTCGATTGCAAGCGCAATTTTCCATTGAAGTCTGGAAATAGTGGTCGATTGCCATCACTTTTGTTCCCGGAGCTTCCATTAATTAAACCCTCACGATTACATCGTAGATAACCTCTTCCTCTCTCTCTCTCTATTTCGATTCCGTTCCCGTTCTTATACGTGTCTTTATCGAGAAAATCTTTCGTTAAATCACACGAAACTTCATTCTTTCATTTGCAATTTGTGATTTTATCTTCTTTTTAAACCGAATTCATTACTGTTTTTTTTTTCTTTTTTTAATTATTTATTTGTAAAAAGAACGACGTCTCTTATCGACGGATGATAATAAGATAATTTCAATAGTTAAGTAACTAAAGGTAGCAAACGTAAGTAACGAAAAATAACTAGTAAAAAGGAACTAAAACAAGTCACTGAATTGGATTTTAGAGAGAAATATAAAACTGGAAATCCGCTTATTATCGCTTCTCATTTTATCGATAAAAATTTTTCAATTATTGGAACACGCTAATTAAATTTATTATTCAAATTTTAAACTAAAATCTCGTTAAATTCATAAAAGAAGGATAGTGTATAAATTAAAGGAATTATCACGGTAGTTGACACTGTAAAAATAATAAAAAATAAAAAAAAAAAAAAAAGGGAAAAA